ACCCCCGGGGCTGGTAGCAATCCACTCCTCAAACTTGCAACTACCTTCTCGCCTTAGGGAGCCGCACCACACCACGTGGCCCGGCACGTAGGAAACTTTAAATCGCCGCAAACAGGAAGAGGGTGGAGAGGTACGGGACGCGGGAATTACAGAGCCCTGCGCGTGGATCACACGTCCCGGCCCGCCCACTGCATACTATGGGGCACCTGAGGCCCAGAGAGCCTGGGAGCCGCAGCGCAGCGCAGGGCAGAGGCTGCGGCTCCTAAGGCCCCCCGTGGGACCCGGCTCTGGGAGCCCGCCAGGGGAAGGAGCGCGGGTTGCCGCTCTCCAGATCTCACACGCGGCCCTCACACGCGGCCCGCACACGCTCACCTGGCAGCTCTGCTCCTTCACTTCCCGCGCGGCGCGCACAAAGCCTGCCTGTAACAGATGCTGGTAGATCAGGGGAAGCAGCTCACGCCGCTTCCTGGCCTCAGCCATGTCCGCGACTTGCGGCCGGTTGGCTCACCTGCACGCCCCCCCTCAGCCCCCGCCCGCGACTTCCCTCGTGCCCTTAGACCTCCCGCGTCCCACTTCCGGCTCCTCGTTAGCCCAGGCCCGTGGCATGCCGGGAAATGTAGTTTTATCTCCTAGAGTAGCCCGCCTGCCCCAGCGGGGGTGAAAGGGGCGGAGACTCAGAAGGACGCGAGACCGCCCATTGCCGGGGGGGCGTGGCCAGACCTGACCCCGCCCCTTGGCCGGCCTAGATAAGTGAGTCTCCTTAAATCCTTCAGTCTTGCGCCTTGGAGTTTGTCTTCCACGTTAGCTTTCTCAGGGATGCTATTGGGTTCTATTTATGTCTGAGCATCCTAATCAGCGTGTCTTTCTCGACCCGAACTTCCAGTTACAAACTCAGTTGTTCATGTCACACTTTTTAGGGCTCATGAACTAGAAACCTGTGGATGAAAAAGCACCTGGTACTAACCCTGACAAGCTCAGGGGAGACCTGCGTGGCGGCCTTGCAAACTTAGGAACGGAAAGTAACTGCATAGGAAGGTCTGAAATGAAAACTCCCTAACTAAAGGCAGTTCATGGCATGTAGTCATGTCCTAGGCAGGTAGCTTCCTTGACAAAGGTCAGCCTTTACCTTCACGGAGCTGCCTGTTGTCTTTTTCTGCATCTATGATAACATGCCTGATAACATACCTTTGGAATATCAAAATAATTCCCCACACACACACACCAGAGCAGAGACCACAGATCCCCTCATTATTATTATGTTAATTCCCCTCAGCTTTGCCTTCTCCCGCCTCCCTAATCTAACCCCAAAGGATTTCATTTAACCCCTTTACATCTCCTCCTCTGATTATAACGTATAAAATAAGGGGCAAAACTGCTCTTCTGTCTCTGGAGCATTTTCTCCATTCATTGAGATTTTGCTTCCTGGCAATTGTCAGTTTGGCCTAAATAAACTCAAAATTTCTTACAGGTTTGGGCGCTTATGTTGACAAACTACCTGTCATTATCATTCATTCACTGAGCAAAGCCTTCCTGAGCACAGTACCTGGAGCTACCCTGGGCTATAGAACGGGAGGGGTGGTGAAAAGACGAATAAGGCATGGCGACTGCTCAAAGCGCACAGGGACGAGACACAGTAACCAAGCAACTAGGATTCAATGCCTTATGTGCATTGGCCGGGGCAGGCAGAGCCTGTGGGAGCAGGGATGAGGGGCATCCAGAGAGACATCTAAGCTGAAGCTTAAAGATGGTGCAGGGATTTCTAGGTGCAGAGGAAAGGACTGGCATCCCAGGCAGAGGGCACTGCCTGAGTATCGACAGGAGAAGCCGCAGTCTGGTATAGGTTGGTAAACCCAAACAGAGAACTCAGTCTGCGCTGCTGGGCTGTAGAGTTGGGGGTGGGGGTAGGAAGAGGGAACACTGAGGACACATGAGGATGAAGAAATAGTGCCTACAGCACCCCTTCACCCACCAGCAGAGTCTGCACTTCAAAAGCAATAGACAGTCTCTGACTGGTGTTATACAGGACGGTGGCCTGCGTTTCCGTTTTTAAAAGATTGCTATGACCCAAGTGTGGAGGATTATTTTGCAGAGATAAAAACTAGAAGCTGTTGTAGTTGTTGAGAGTAGGTTGGTGGGGACAGGATGAGCTAGGCTGGGGACTATTTGAATGAGCTGTTTTATAACTTCATGGACCTATTGAGATTATGAAGACAGCACGAAACACATAGGCTTTGCTCTAGAAAGTTTGAATGTGTGGACACTTAACATTTTCCAACAAGTATCAGGATGTGGATAAGCACATGTCTGAACCTCCTAGGGTTTGAAATCCATCAGGAAGAACAGGGGACAGGACCATGTGACTGATCGAGTGCAGTGAATGAAGAAGAGGTGAAAGGTTAGGGTCGGTGGTGTGCAGGCAGACTAAATAGCCATCTCAGACAGTGAATAAAGAAAAATTGAATTTATTTAAGGAAAGGGGGATGGGGAATGGGGATGTCCAAAGGGAAGGGCTACCCAGCGCTGAGCCAAAGGGTATTGGGTCCATCATGGAAGAAAAAATATACTTAGGATGGTGAAATAAGAAAGATGCATAGCAGAAGCAACAGAAGCGCCTAGGCTGGGCTGCTCTGGCTCACTGAGAAGTCAGAGAAAAGGTCACTTGGGACATGGGTTCGGGGGTTAGCCTGGGACGAGCTGCTGTTGCCCATTGCTCCCCTGGTTGCAAGTCACTGGGGTCCCCTTGGAGGGAGGAAGGGGAAAAGGAATGGCGCTGGCATGCTCCCCTGTGGGTCCTTCATCCTCACCATATTTATCTCTCTTTTGCAGGTGGAAATCTTAGGGGAGGTCTCAGGGGAGGGTCTTAATAGAATATTCATCAGCTTTCCAGCTTTGCTACTTCTCTGAGCCTGGAGCCCAAATACAGCTGAGGCCTAGATGTTATCTTTAGGGAGGAAATGCTCAGGGAGTCTAAACCACATGACCAGCAGCGATATGCTGGGGGAGGATAGGTTCCCCTGGGGATAAGGTTCTTGTTTTCCCAGTTTTGCCCCTTGCTAGCCATTGGGGCTTTCTGCCCCAGTGAGTTTCTGCACTTGGCCCATCATCATTGCTCTGCTCATGTCTATCTAACAAGAGGCAGGAGCCCTGGCTGGTTTTGCTCAGTGGTTTTGCTCAGAGCGTCGGCCTGAGGACCAAAGGGTCTTGGGTTCGATTCCCTGTTAAGAGCACATAGCTGGGTTGTAGGTTTGATACCCGACCACGTGCAGGAGGCAACCAATCAGTGTGTCCCTCTTATATTGATGTTTCTCTCTCTCCCCTTCCCTTCTACTCGCTCTAAAAAAAAAAATCAATAGAAAAAATATCCTCGGGTGTGGATTAACAACAACAACAAAAAGCAGAAGAGGAAGGAGACTAATCTATATACAGCTACTTAGCAAATATTTATTGAGCACCCACGATTGGGGATGAACCAGTCTCTACCCCAATAGGGCTTATGGTCTAATGGGAGAGACACATGCTAAACAAAGAGTCACACCAATGTGTTGTTACAGGGGGTAAGTGCAGAAAGGGAAAAGACAGTGTTTTCTCGAGTCACACTGCCTGGTTCAAATTCTGACTTTGCCTCTGATTAACCATGTGACCTTGGGTAAGTTACATAACTTCTCTGAGCCTCACTTTTTTCCTCTGTAGAATAATTATAATTTCTATCTCATAAGGTTGTCATGAGGAGTAAATGAGTTCTACGCAGAAATGCTCAGAAGAGCTACTAACAATAGTGCTATGTGTGTACATATGTCAGCCATTATTCAACAGGAAGGAGGAGTCTATCTTTCTTGGGTGTTAGGGCAGGATTCTCTGAGGAAGTGGTGTTTGTGAGGAAATCTTAACTATGTGTAGGGGAGAATGGGGGGGGGAGGAGAATCCTGGGCAGAGGGAAGAAGCTGTGCAAAGGGCCTGAGGCAGAAGATACAGCTGAGAGAAGAGGCAGGTAAAGTCCTTTGTAGCGGGGCCTAGAGGGAGAGCAGAGTGACGGGAGTACAGAAGGTGGGTGGAGTATAGATTCCACATTAAGGATCTTTCTTTTCATCCTATGATTGATAGAAAGCCACTGACAGAACAGCTCAGAGAGGTATGGGATGATATTTGAATTTTAATGTGACCTGTGTGAATGCCCAGTGGCAAGTAGAGTAGTGTGTGTTTGAGTAAATGCAGGAAGACAAATTAGGGTTAGGAGTGCAGGCAGGCATCCAGGGAGCATATAATGGGTGGTGTGTGTGTGTGTGTGTGCTGGTAACAGTGGAGTTGGAGAGCGGTGGAACTTCTAGAGTTATCAGATAGTAAAATCATCATAGAGATGTGTTAAAACGGTGGGTAAGGGACAGGGAGTATTAGAATGGACTCAGAGGTCTCTGAGCAAACAGGCAGGCAGGGACTTTCACAGGGACAGGGAAAAGGAGAGGGCTGAGATGGGGGAATGAGCCAGGAGGGGAGGGTGGGGAAGGGGACATGAGAAGTGCAAGTTGCACTTTAGACATGTTGAGAGTGAGATGCCTTTGAGACATGTTGACAGTGAGATGCCTTTGAGTAGGCACATGGAGGCCTGGCTTTGGACTCACACAGAGACGGGAAGTGGTCCGTAGAGAGAGGATCAGTGAGACTGTGGCTGAGGGCAGGACTGCCCAGGGAGAGACCTGGAGAGCGAAGGGGAGTGGCCCAGGATGGAGCTCCAAGGCACACCCCCAGCTTAGGTCTGCACAAGGACAGACCAGGGACACAGACAGACAGACGTGCCTGCAGAGGGTGAGGAGGGAGGAGGAAACCCAGGGGAGTGGCCTTGGGGAAGGAAGGCAAGGGAAGAGTTTCAGGAAAGCAGAGAGAGTTCAGGGGATTGCTCTGAGAGGTGGAACAGGAGGAGACTGGAACCACTGGCTTTGGTTTAATGACAGGCATGGGGACTGTTGGTGGCTTTAGGGAGGGTGCTACTTCTGTGGAATGATGGAGAAGGTCAGATGGCAGTGGTCAACGATTGAAGGAGGGCTGAGGGAGGCAGTGGGTCTTCTGAGAGGTTTTCGTGTGAACGAGAGGAGAGAGCGTCTGTGACAGGGTCCACGTGCGTTGGGGAGGTGTGTAATGACATGAGAGAGACCTGAGTTTGTTTAAAGGCTAATGGGAGATCAAAGGGAGAGAGATTAACGAGGGCTGCAGGAAACGGGAGACAATCAGCGGGCCATGTTCACGAGCACGTGCGAGAGGATGGGATCGGGCGTGTGGGTGGAGGGGTTGGCCTGGGAGAGGAGGAGGGATGACTTCCCCAGAGCCAAAAGAAGGAACAAAGAGAGGTGCAGATGTAGCTGTAGGTTTGTAGTGGGATGTTAAGGGAGATTTCATCTCGAGCTTCTATTTTTTCTGCCAAGTGGGAGGCAAGGTCTTCTGCTGAGAGTGAGGAAGAGATGGGGGGAGTTTGAAGGAAGGAGGACAACGAGCACTCGGAGAGCTGAAGAGCAAACTTGCC